GACTGCTCTGTGAGGGGTGGGACTGCTCTTCCAGGAGTCAACATTGGTACTCAGGGGTGGCTAGAGTGGGTCCTGTTCTCAGGGGTCTCTGAGGACAGGGATCTGGCTTATAGGCCCCAGGCTGAGACAGGCAGTTTTGTGGCCGTGTTTGAAATCTTTTGAAACCAGGGTTTCTCAACAGCAGCTCTATTGACGTTCTGACCTGGCTCATTCGTTCTTGTGGGAAGAATCGTCCTGTGTGTTATAGGACGTTTAGCACCGTCCCTAGCCTCTAACCACTGAATGTCAGTAGCACACCCCCAAGTCATGACAACCAAAAATGTCTCCGGGCATTGCTTGTCGCCTGGGGGTCGCAGTCCCTGACAGTTGACATTAGCTGCTCTAAAGTGTGAACCGAGAGACTTTCCAGGGAGACCCCGAGCCCTTTCCAATGAAGAATTCTCTAGGACAATGTTTCTCAACTGTTTTTTCCGCAGTTATNTCGTCCTCTGGCTGGAGAGAAATAGCTTGCCCACATGAAACGTTAAACTTTTCACTCCTAACTTGCCCTAGGGTAGCACTTTTCACTCTGGGCAGGGCTGCCCACCTCTACCTCCTGATAGCACCAGCCCCAGTGGCAGAACGTTCCTCGGGTAGATTTGCTAAGTGCCAGGGAGAGTTCTGGATGGGGAACCTGTGTCTGACGCCGATTCTCTCTTCTAGGGGAGGAGTTTTATGAAGCCTCACCCTACGAGCCGGTGACCTCCCGCCTCTCGGACATCTTCAGGCTTGCTTCAATCTTCTCAGGTGAGTGGGTTCGTGCTGGGACTTGGCCAGTTGCCCCTTGTCCCTGTGGCTTGGTGGACAGGGCTCTGGGCTTGGACTCAGGCGTCCTGGGCTTCCGTTGGTTCTGCCCTGCATTGACTTAGTGCTTCCAAGCCTCAGTTCCTTGTGGGTGAAGGAGACCATAACAACCCCCTCCCTCGGTGGTTTATGGAATAAAGCATTTGTGGAAATTATTGTGCACGATGGTGTCATGGAGCAGGTCTTGAATCTGAACCTGATGTCCCTCTTGATGTTCCCTCTTTCCTGCCCCTGGCTCTTCTACTCGAGGCTTTTCTACTTGGTCAGCTTGCTTAACCTCTCTGTGCCTCAGTTTCCTCAGCTGTGAATGGGGGAGTAACAGTCCTGACCTCATGGGATTAGTGTGAGCTCTGAAGGAGCCCATGGGTGGTAGAGCCCTCAGCATGCTGCGGGCACCTATGAGTGTGCAGCTGGCCGTGGCTGTCGGTGTTAGCGCTACCACACTCCCCCGAGGGCTCTGCTCTTGAGCGCCCTGAAGGCAGCTTCCCAGGGATGAATGTCTGGTCCCCAGGCCTCTCCCCACCCCGGCC